CCAATATGCTACCGAGCCCAATTTAAAATGCTGGTCTTGACCTATAAAGCCCCAAATGCTTCTGGTCCAACTTTTCTGTCCAAATGCATCCCCTCCTATAAGCCTACTAGAACTTTAAGATCGTTTGGGGAGGCCTTCCTCTCAATCTCACCTTCTTCACAAGCGTGATTGCTGGGGACAAGAGACAGAGCCTTCTCAGTGGTGGCTCCTCAGCTGTGGAACTCCCTCCCCAGTGACGTCAGGCAGGCTTCATCCCTTCTAGCTTCAGAAAAAAAGCTAAAAACTTGGCTTTGCACACAAGCGTTCAAATAATAACTTACTACGGGTTTCGACATGGTCTGAATTAAGGATTTGAGCAAGGTTATCAGATGAATGGAACTATGCACCTTATGTGTTTTTAATTTGTATATCGTTTTATGTGTTTTATTGATTAATTGGTAATCATTTTAATTGTGGGATTTTTTAAACTGTTTATTGTTGGTTTTTACCAGCACTGAATTCTTGCCGGAGCTGTAAGCTGCCCTGAGTCCTCTCAGGTGAGAAAGGAGGGGTAAAAAAATGAAGTAAATAATAATAATAATTAGTTTATTTAAAAAATTGCTGATGTTAAGAGCTTCTTGACAATAGAATTATGTCAAATCAAAGTATTTTGAAACCTCTGCTTAAGAACCTTCACTGGAGTGCTTTGCCTACCGGAAAGGTAGGCCCAGCCTACCTGTCCGAATGCATCTCCCCCTATGAACCGTCTCAGAAATTAAGATAGTCTGGGGAGGCCCTGCTCTCGGTCCCACCTTCTTCGCAAGTGCAGTTGGTGGGGCCGAGAGACAGGACCTTCTCAGTGGTGGCCACCTGCTTGTGGAACTCCCTCCCTAGTGATATTGGGGCAGCCCCCTCCCTACTATTGTATAGAAAGAGTCAAAACCTGGCTCTGAGAGAAGGTGTTTGAAAAATAGAGCTGTGCAGGAATCATAGAATTGGAAGAGACCTCATGGGCCATCCAGTCAAACTCCCTGCCCAGAAGCAGGAATATTGCATTCAAAGCACCCCTGACAGATGGCCATCCAGCCTCTGTTTAAAAGCTTCCAAAGAAGGAGCATCCACCACACTCTGGGGCAGAGAGTTCCACTGCTGAACGGCTCTCAGTCAGGAAGTCCTTCCTAATGTTCAGATGGAATCTCCTTTCTTGGAGTTTGAAGCCATTGTTCCGTGTCCTAGTCTCCAGGGAAGCAGAAAACAAGCTTGCTCCCTCCTCCCTCTGACTTCCTCTCACATATTTAAACATGGCTATCGTATCTCCTCTCAGCCTTCTCTTTTTCAGGCTAAACATGCCCAGCTCTTTAAGCCGGGCATGTATAGAATGGAATATGTGCAATTGGCCAGGAATGTTAGAATGGAATATGTGCAATTGGCCTTTAGACTACGACTCTGGATGATGTGATTCATTGAAATGTATTTTTATTATACTTCTTATGTTTCAATTTTTAACTTATGTTTTAACTGATGTATGTTTTAAGGCACTGTGGAGGTGTGACTGTAAGCCTCCTTGAGTTGCCAGAGGGAGAGAAAGGCGGGATATAAATAAAGTAAATAAACCAATAAAGTGGTTTGTTCCTGCATGGATGGGCCTTGTGGTGGCTTCTAACTCTGCATGTCACAGGGGCAAAGGGAGAGGAGAGTGGGGAGTAACTGGCTCTACTTCAGTTCTATCTGGAGAGGCCCTGCTCACACTCCTACCTCCTTCGCAGGCGCCATTGGTAGGGACGAGGGAGAGGGCCTTCTCAGTGGTACCCCCCCCCCCCGACTCTGGAACTCACTTCCCAGGGACATCAGACATGCCCCAACTCTGGCAGTCTTTAGGAGGAGCCTGAAAACGTGGTTGTTCCAGTGTGCCTTCCTAGAATAAGAAAAACTCTCAGCAATATGCCCTCAAAATGCACTTTACCATTGATTTAGGACTGACTGTGTTCTCTTAATTCTCTATGAATATCCTAGCATTATTTTTTAATCTTAATCTATTACATTTGGCCCGGCCATTGGTTTTTAAATGCTTGTATGTCACTGTTGATTGTTTATTGCCTATTTTTTTGTTTATGTGATTTATATGAATTGTATTGTATTGATTGTTTTATTGAAGTTTTGCTTATTATTGATGTATTGTGGGCTTGGCCTCACGTAAGCCACACCGAGTCCCTTGGGGAGATGGTAGCGGGGTACAAATAAAGTTTTATTATTATTACAGCCATCCCCTGCCACGTGTTGCTGTGGCCCAGTCTGGTGATCTAGAAAATAAAAGTAATGGTTTGCAATATATGTAATTCCTTTATGCTTGTGGGTAAATAGTATTCCTTGTTGTTTCTATGTCAGTGTTGATGTGGATATTGTCTGGTTTGCCTACTCTGGAATATGGAATATATTATTGTCCTTCTTTAGGAGTCCCTTTCAAATCTATGATACTATCTGTGTGTGTGTGTGTGAATCATATATATCTATGGCTGGATGGCTCTTTGTCAGGAGGCCTTTGGTGGAGTTCAGAATGCTCTTTGATTGTAGGTATAGTATAAATCCTAGCAACTACAACTCCCAAATGACAAAATCAATTTTTTGAGTAAAGGACATACATTGGGCTGTCCAAATTTGGTGTCAATTCGTCCAATGGTTTTTGAGTTCTGTTAATCCCACAAACGAATGGGGGACGATGCCTGGCTCGAAAACAGTATGTGTGAAAAAGATCTTGGAGTCCACGTGGACAACAAGTTAAACATGAGCCAACAATGTGATGTGGCGGCAAAAAATGCCAATTGGATTTTGGCCTGCATTAATAGGAGCATAGTGTCTAGATCTAGGGAAGTCATGCTACCCCTCTATTCCGCTTTGGTTAGACCACACCTGGAATATTGTGTCCAATTCTGGGCACCACAACTCAAGAGAGATATTGACAAGCTGGAATGTGTCCAGAGGAGGGCGACTAAAATGATCAAGGGTCTGGAGAACAAGCCCTATGAGGAGCGGCTTAAGGAGCTGGGCATGTTTAGCCTGAAGAAGAAGGCTGAGAGGAGATATGATAGCATTAAGTCCAGTTGTGTCCGACTCCGGGGTGTGGTGCTCATCTCCATTTCTAAGCCGAAGAGTCAGCATTGTCCATAGAAACCTCCAAGGTCATGTGGCCGGCATGACTGCATGGAGCGCCGTTACCTTCCCACCGGAGTGGTACCTATTGATCTACTCACATTTGCATGTTTTCGAACTGCTAGGTTGGCAGAAGCTGAAGCTAACAGCAGGAGCTCACGCCGCTCCCTGGAATGGAACCTGTGACTTTTTGGTCAACAAGCTCAGTGCTTTAACCCACTGCGAAACGGGGGGGGGGGGGGGGCGAGAGGAGATATGATAGCCATGTATAAATATGTGAGAGGAAGTCACAGGGAGGAGGGAGCAAGCTTGTTTATTGCTTCCCTGGAGACTAGGACGCGGAACAATGGCTGCAAACTACAAGAAAGGAGATTCCATCTGAACATGAGGAAGAACTTCCTGACTGTGAGAGCTGTTCAGCAGTGGAACTCTCTGCCCCGGAGTGTGGTGGAGGCTCCTTCTTTGGAAGCTTTTAAACAGAGGCTGGATGGCCATCTGTCAGGGGTGATTTGAATGCAATATTCCTGCTTCTTGGCAGAGGCTTGGACTGGATGGCCCATGAGGTCTCTTCCAACTCTTTGATTCTATAAGTAGTTTCTACTATAAGAACCGTTAAGCAGTGAAATAGATTGCCTCAGAAAGTGGTGGACTCTTTCTATTTGGAATAATTAAATTATAGGATCTTAGAATTGGAAGGGTCGACAAGGGCTATCTCAGTGCAACTCACTGCTGTGCAAGAATACATAACTATAGTGTGCCTAAAAGATGCCCATACCACCTCTGCTTAAAGACACCTGAAGATGAAAAGTCCATTGCTCTCCGAAGCAGCCTGTTTCCCTGTTGAACTGCTCTCATAATCACGAATTTATTTCTAACATTTAGGTAGAATTTCTTTCTTGGCAGAATGGGGTTGGACTGGATGGCCCATGAGGTCTCTTCCAACTCTTTGATTCTATGAACGTTACATTTTTATTTATATAGATTATTATTATTATCTCAGGCCTGGGCAAACTTCGGCCCTTAGAGTGTTTTGGACTCATAAGCGGCTGAGAGGGAAAAGGAAAGAGCCTGAGGCTGTTAGGAATGGTGGGAGTTGGAGTCCAAAACACTCTCGAGGGCCGAAGTTTGCCCAAGCTTGCTCTATCTGATATTATGAATCACAAGGCGATTCGAAGAGATAGGAAAAATGGAAGCAGGAAAGCGGCGGCGGCGGCGTCGTCACTGCGCGCGGAGGCCTAGGCCGCGGCCTCGCAGGCGAATCCCAGCGGGCCCCACCCTCCCTCTGGCGGCGGAGGAGGAGGAAGAAGAAGGAGGCCGGCCGGCGGGTGAGGGAAACCAGGCCCCGCCGCGGATTATGAAGCCGAGATGCCACAGGCCCTCACCAAGCAAGCAAGCCAAGCCTTCTCTCTTAACCCACTCCCTCCTTCCCTCAGGACAGAGCGGCGCTACTCTACCTCCAGGTCGCGGCCTTTGTTCTTGAAGTTCTTCAGCCGTTGGTTGTCCGCCTTTTCGTTGTCGGCCATGGCGGCAGGAAGGTAGGGAGCGAGGCCTTCCTCCCTCCCCGGCCGGGCCCCCGCTTCTCCTTCTCTGTCGTCGCCTTGCCTTGAAGGGGCCTTGAGGAGGCCTTGAGGCCTATCTTCGCCTCTTCCGCCTCTGGTGCCGGTAGAGCGAGAGAGAGGAAGGAATGAAGGAAGGGAAGGAAGGAAGGGAAGCAGCGGCCCAGCCTCGCGCGCAGTCAGGCGCCCCTAGCCACGCCCCCTCGCCCCTTAGCTCCGCCTCTTCCCGCCCACCGCGCGCTCCGATTGGGCAGCGCTCCGTGATGGAGAGGGGCGAAGGGAGGGAGAGGTGCGCGTGAGCCGGGAGGGGGCGGGGCCTAAAGGGACTTCCTCTTCAGCCCTTCTCAGGCTATAGGCCTGGGCCGCCATTTTGGGCCATTCGCCAAGGAGACCGCCTCGAAGGCGGCTCTCCCGTCTCGTTTGGGAAGGAAGGCCGGCCTTGTCCTGAACACCTACTCTCAGGAAGGTGGGATACGTACAGTTTAGTATAGTATACCTCAGGCATGAGCTAACTTGGGCCCTCCAGGTGTTTTGGACTTCAGCTCCCACAATTCCGGTAGGCTGTTCTACACTATAGCATTAAAACCAGTTTAACTGCCATAGCTTAATGCTATAGTATTCTTATCGCCTGTGCTATGTTTATTTACTTGTCGTGTCAGGGTGTCAGGGCAGCCAGTCAATTTTATTACATTTCTAACAGAACAAAGCAAACAAACATAGAAAATACAGAATGTGTGAGTTTGGTAGTTGATTAAATGTCCTTTGACCAGTATCTGGCCACTTGGAGTGCCTCTGGTGTTGCTGCAAGAAGGTCCTCCATTGTGCAAGTGGCAGGGCTCAGGGTGCATTGCAGCAGGTGGTCAGTGGTTTGCTCTTCTCCACACTCGCATGTCGAGGATTCCACTTTGTAGCCCCATTTCTGAAGGTTGGCTCTGCATCTCGTGGTGCCCGAGCGCAGTCTGTTCAGTGCCTTCCAAGTCACCCAGTCCTCTGTGTGCCCAGGGGGGAGTCTCTCGTTTGGTATCAGCCATTGGTTGAAGTTCTGGGTTTGAGCCTGCCACTTTTGGACTCTCACTTGCTGAGGCATTCCAGCGAGTGTCTCTGTAGATCTTAGAAAACTATGTCTGGATTTAAGTCGTTGGCGTGCTGGCTGATACCCAAACAAGGGATGAGCTGGAGATGTCACTGCCTTGGTCCTTTCACTATTGGCTGCCACTTCCCGGCGGATGTCAGGTAGTGCGATACCGGCTAGACAGTGTAATTTCTCCAGTGGTGTAGGGCGCAGACACCCCGTCATAATGCGGCATGTCTCATTAAGAGCCACATTCACTGTTTTAGTGTGGTGAGATGTGTTCCACACTGGGCATGCATACTCAGCAGTGGAGTAGCACAGCGCAAAGGCAGATGTCTTCACTGTATCTGGTTGTGAACCCCAGGTTGTGCCAGTCAGCTTTCGTATGATATTGTTTCTAGCACCCACTTTTTGCTTGATGTTCAGGCAATGCTTCTTGTAGGTAAGAGCATGGTCCCCAAAATCTGTGCTATGTTAATAATATAATAGGATGTAATAAAATATATTGTATATACATCAGGCATGAGCAAACTTGGGCCCTCCAGGTGTTTTGGACTTCAACTCCCACAATTCCGGTAGGCTGTTCTACACTGTAGAATTGAAATCAGTTTGACACTACTTTAACTGCCATAACTTAATGCTATAGTATTCTTATCTCCTGTGCTATGCTAATAATATAATAGAATGTAATAAAATATATTGTATATACATCAGGCATGAGCAAATTTGGGCCCTCCAGGTGTTTTGGACTTCAACTTCCACAATTCTGGTAGGCTGTTCTACACTATAGAATTAAAATCAGTTTGACGCTACTTTAAATGCCATAGCTTAATGCTCTAGTATTCTTGTCTCCTGTGCTATGCTAATAATATAATATATTGCATATACATATAATATTTATAATAGTATAATGTAATACAATATAATACTAATAAGATATTATAATTCTATGTTTTATATTACATGTAATATTACTTATAATATTACAATATAATGGTATAGTACAATATAATAATATATAATACTGATATTGTACTATGCTAATAATATAATTATTGTATGTATATTACATACATAAACTTTAACTGGCATAGCTTAATGCTATAGTATTCTTGTTCCCTGTGCTATGCTAATAATATAATATAGTGTAATATAATATATTGTATATACATATAATATTTCTAATAGTATAATGTAATACAATATAATACTAATAATATGATATTATAATTGTATATTTTGTATTACGTGTAGTATTACTAATAATATTACAATGGTATAGTACAATATAGTAATATATAATACTGATATTGTACTATGCTAATAATATAATGTATAATAATAATAATAATAATAATAATAATAATGTATTGTATGTATATTACATACATTAACTTTAACTGCCATAGCTTAATGCTATATGATTCTTGTTTCCTGTGCTATGCTAATAATGTAATATAGTGTAATATAATATATTGTATATACATATGATATTTATAATAGTATAATGTAATACAATATAATACTAATAATATATTATAGTTGTATATTTTATATTACATGTAATATTTCTAATAATATTACAAAATAATGGTATAGTACAATATAGTAATATATAATACTGACATTGTATTATTATTTATTTATTTACTGTATTTGTATACCGCCTTTCTCAGCCAATTGGCGACTCAAGGCGGTTTCCAACAAATCCGTACACATAAAACATAATATAGATAAAAAAACATTAACAGTATAAGACATCACAAAAGCAATAAAAACATCATCAGCATTATTCTCAAGCATTGTCCAATTCCATTGTCAGGTCATTGGATTTCCTATATTAGCTACTCTGTATTTGTAAATGCTTGCTTGAATAGCCACAGTTTAACTTGCCTCTGAAACTATGCTAATAATATAATATATTGTATGTATATTACTGTATATATTTGAGTATAAGCCTAGTTTTTCAGCCCTTTTTTTAGGCTGAAAAAGTCCCATTTGTCAAGATTATTTATTATTTAATTCTATTATTATTATTATTATTATTATTATACTCTATTATTACATTTATTATTTTACTCTATTATTGTTATTATTACATTTATTATTTTACTCTATTATTACTGAAAGGATGTGCAAACATATTTACAGTGAAAAAGGTTGGTGTCATGGTTTAATCAGCGTTGGACAGTCTTATCTTAAATTACAGTTTGATGTAAATATTCAAAAACATTTAACCTACTGATGCCTCAATTAATGTAATTTTATTGGACTCTATTTTTATTTTGGAATTTACCAGTAGCTGCTGCATTTCCCACCTTTGGCTTATACTCGAGTCAATATGTTTTCCCAGTTTTTTGTGGTAAAATTAGGTGCCTCGGCTTATATACGGGTCGACTTATACTCGAGTATATACGGTATATCTTGTATGCCTCTCTGAGTCCCCTGAGGGGTGAGATGGGCGGCATATAAATGTCGTAAATAAGTAAATATTCTGGGAATTGTAATTTTACAAGGTATTTAGCCATCTCTGCCAAAGAATTTTGGTATCTCACTAAATTACAACTCTGCAGATTCTTTTGCATTGAGACATGGTAATTCCTAACAATTTCGGTAGGCTGTTAGAAATTGTGGGAGTTGCAGTTGCAAAATACCTGCAGGGCCCAAGTTTGCTCAGGCCTGATATACAAAGTATAGTAGTATATATAGTACAATGTAATAATATATAATACTAATATTGTGCTGTCTTAATAATATAATATATTATATATATGTGTATGTGTAATATTAATAATCATATAATGCAATATGTTGCTACTAATAATATATTAAATATAATACTGCTGATAATATACGAGGGGCTGCTGATAAGTCTTTGGCTTTGTCTTCTTTTTTTGTTTCTGTGTTAACGAATGTTACATCACATGAAAGCCTTATGTGTCTAATATATGTTTTCAAAATTTTCTGTTTGTAGCTTAATGCAACAGTGATGTAGGCATGCGGGAAAACAAAATGGCGGATTCTAAGGTGATATTAACAGCAAATGAGAGCAGAGAAGTGATAAAATTCTTGTTTCTGCAAGGAAAGTCAGCAAAGGATATTCATGGTGATATGTTGCAGACATTGGGGGATCAATGCCCTTCATATTCTACAGTTAAGAACTGGGTTGCCAAATTTAAAACTGGCCACGTCAGCACCAATGATGAGAAACGTCCTGGACGACCGAGAGTGGTTGTTGTTCCGGAGATTGTCGATGCTGTTCACAACCTCATACTGGAGAATCGGCTAATTTCAGCTAAAGGAATAGCAGACATCATGGGGATTTCTCGTGAACGTGTTTGTGTCATTATCCATGAACATTTGAACATGAAGAAGCTATCTGCAATGTGGGTCCCAAAATGTTTGACAACAGATCAGAAAAACATGCGAGTAAAAACTTCTCGGTCCATTTGTCAGCGTTTCTGGACTGATGAGAACTTCCTGGATCAATTGGTCACTATGGATGAGACCTGGATTTATTTGTATGACCCTGAAACCAAGGAGCAGTCAAAAGAGTGGAGGCACAGTGGTTCTCCACGTCCAAAGAAGTTCAGGGTGCAAAAATCAGTCACAAAGGTGATGGTGTCTGTGTTCTGGGATAAGGAGGGCGTGCTGCTAGTGGACTACCTTCAAAATGGTTCCACCATCAATGCAAGGTATTACATTGAACTTTTGGACCAGTTGAAGGCAGCTCTGCAGGCCAAAAGGCGAGGCAAGCTGTCAAAAGGAATCTTGTTCCTGCAAGACAATGCCTCTGCTCACACTGCACAAGAGACCATGGCAAAATTGGTGGAGCTTGGCTTCCAGCTGGTTGACCACCCACCTGATTCACCGGATCTAGCTCCCTCCGACTATCATCTGTTTCCAAACCTGAAGAAACACATCCAGGGTACCAAATTTCACATCATTTCTGATGCCATGGCTGCTACGGATGACTGGTTTGAGGCACAACCAAAATCCTTCTTTTTGCAAGGCTTACAGAACTTGGAATACCGATGTAAGAAGTGTGTTGATATCAGTGGAGAGTATGTGGAATAAATGTAAATTTTCATCTTCCTATTTTGTTTCTTTCTGGGTAAAGCCAAAGACTTATTGGCAGCCCCTTGTATAATCATAATACTGTTTTATTATTCGTATTCTATTGTATTATAATATTATTGTATATTAGTAAATTTTAAATTGCAGGTATGTATAAACACCTACTTAATGGATTGGATAATAGTTGTTCATACTGTTTCTTGAAAGATCATTGAGGTCATAAATTTTGCCTCAAAGGAAAAGCAAAGTTAAGCTAGTGCTACCTATGCTAATCTGGACTGCCATCTTTAGAAGCAAAGATAAACTATTAGTAATATATATTTCAGCTCTTGAAAAGATGGGTGAATAGATGAGCTCCAACACTCCAGTCCTACGGGGCGTTCATTAAAGATGTGCCCTAACCCACTTCTATTTATCACAGGATGCTGAAACTGCACGTGTGTAATGATATAAGTCTCTATAGGTTACGTGCCAGTTTACAACTCAGAACTGATAACGGTCTTGATTTTACAGGTGTTCAAATGGTGTGAGGTTGGTAATCGACCCAGTGGAATACAGAGCAGTCATCAAGTTCCTTTACTTAAAAGGCCACACACCAAAAAAGACGTTCAAAGAGATGAAAGAGGTTTATGGTGATGATTCCCCATCATATGATGAAGTTAAGAACTGGCATAATCAATTCAAATGTGTTCAGACTTCAGTGCAAACAGCTCCAAATCCAAGGTGACTCCACTCTGCTGTTGATGAACACACCATCCAACAAGTGGAGGCCGCCATTTCGGAAAATAGCTGCCTAACCATTTGCCACCTAGCCCAAAATATCAAGATTAGTGTGGGGTCTGTGGAAAAAATCATTCAAGAACATCTTCACATGCACTCACTGGGTTCCCCGGCTGCTCACACCTTTCCAGAAGCAGGAACTAGTCTAATGTTTTCAGGCTCTATTGATGATGTGCCATGGTGTTGTATGTCAGCCTGTGATTGTGCCTGATGTTCATGTTGGGCATGATGTTCATGATGGGAAAGGGGATGATGTTCTTGATGATGGGCCTGGGAATGAGGGTTTGCTTCGGCCTGAGCTGTCTCAGGAAAATTCACAGGGCCACATTCTTGAGCGAGGACCTTTGCTGCTTTTCTCAGAAAAACTGTCCATGATTTTCAGGTGCAGGAGTTAATGAGGGAGAAGATATTGAAAGCTCGGATAGAAAGCAGAGTTTTGGTAAACAGAGGAAAAGTCTTCAGAGACTGAGACAGTCGGTTTGGCTACAGCAAAGGAGAGATAACAAACCTTTATCTAGTGGGAAGGTCAAGAAGAATGCTATCTTTTAAGTTTTGAGATCTGGAAATGCTTTATAATGATTCATGGAAGAGAGTTACCTCAGTCGGGTCAACATTGCTTTCCGAAGGTGCTCTTACTGCCTATTACAGGGAAAACCAGCTGATCCCCAACTCATCTAAAACACAGACATGTGCCTTTCATCTCAAGAACAGAGAAGCATCCCGAGCTCTGAAGATCACCTAGGAAGGAATCCCACTGGAGCATTGCAGCGCACCCAAATACCTGGGAGTCACTCTGGACCGTGCTCTTACCTACAAGAAGCATTGCCTGAACATCAAGCAAAAAGTGGGTGCTAGAAACAATATCATACGAAAGCTGACTGGCACAACCTGGGGTTCACAACCAGATACAGTGAAGACATCTGCTCTTGTGTTGTGCTACTCTGTTGCTGAGTATGCATGCCCAGTGTGGAACACATCTCACCACACTAAAACAGTGATGTGGCTCTTAATGAGACATGCCGCATTATCACGGGGTGTCTGCGCCCCACACCACTGGAGAAATTACACTGCTTAGCCGGTATTGCACCACCTGACATCTCCTGGGAAGTGGCAGCCAATAGTAAAAGGACCAAGGCAGAGACATCTCCAGCTCATCCCTGTTTGGGTATCAGCCAGCACGTCAACGACTTAAATCCAGACATAGTTTTCTAAGATCTACAGAGACACTCACTGGAACGCCTCAGCAAGCGAGAGTCCAAAAGTGGCAGGCTCAAACCCAGAACCTCAACCAATGGCTGATACCAAATGAGAAACTCACCCCCTGGGCACACAGAGGACTGGGCGACTTGGAAGGCGCTGAACAGACTGCGCTCTGGCACCACGAGATGCAGAGCCAACCTTCAGAAATGGGGCTACAAAGTGGAATCCTCGACATGCGAATGCGGAGAGGAGAGCAAACCACTGACCACCTGCTGCAATGCAACCTGAGCCCTGCCACATGCACAATGGAGGACCTTCTTGCAGCAACACCAGAAGCACTCCAAGTGGCCAGATACTGGTCAAAGGACATTTAATCAACTACCAAACTCACACATTTTGTATTTTTTCTGTTTGTTTGCTTTGTTCTGTTAGAAATGTAATATAATTGACTGGCTGCCCTGACACGAGAAATAAAATAAACGTTGCTATTTTATCAAGCTCTTATTTTCTACCACTCTGAGTTTCATGTACCAACTTTTTGCTAAGCTCAAGATTTGTCTGTGAGATTTTTCTGCTACCTTGTTTCATGGATTCAAGTGCCTCGTTTCATGGATTGTTACATACTTTTGAAACTTGTTTTCCTTTGAAGCTTATGGACTATTTCTCATAATTTGCTATTTTTACTTTACTTTTTTGCTATTTTTACTGTTTTGCTGGCATATAATCTTCAATAACCTGCTTGCTGATTTTACCAAGTTGATGTGATGTTTAACGTCACAGGTGTTCCTGCTCTGAAGTGGGACATGGAAACCAGGAGGACTTTTTCAACAGACTGATCACACAGGATGAAAGCTGGGTCCATTACTATGATCCTGAGACAAAGGTCCAGTCGATGCAATGGAAGCATCATGATTCACCTCCAAAGAAGGCACGTGCCAACTCTCTGCAGGCAAGGTCATGCTCACAGCATTTTGGACCAGCACAGAGTAGGATTGATGGATTTCCCAGTAAAGGGTACAATGATCACTGGTGCATACTATGCTTCACTGCTGTGGAAATTGTAGAAGGCCATCAAAACCAAGAGACGTGGCATGCTCAGCAAAGGTGTCCGCCTTCTGCAAGACAATGCACTAGTTCACATGTTGCCCAAATGGAAGCATGCTCCTGTGGCTTTGAAATTCTACTGCAGCCCCCTTTTTCACCCGAACTCAGACCATCGGACGTCCACCTCTTTCCAATAATGAAGTTATTTTTGAAGGGCAAGTGTTTTTCTGATGATGAGACTCTGATTTCCAAAGTCACAATGTGGCTTTTGGAACAACCTGTTGACTTCTACAAGTGAGGTATTTATAGTTGCTTAAAAAGATGGAAGAGGTGTGTCCCACTAGGTGTCACCTATATAGAGAAGGACTAACAGCTGTGCCAGGTTTCATTGCTCTCAGTCCACAGGAAGTGGATCAGGGAAAATAGCTAATGAACGCTCCTCGTAGTTAAGAACTGAACTGTAGGATGAGACCTTGACAAGTAATAAAAACTCGACTAATATTTGGGTCTTTCATTTAAATGATTTACCACACTTGATTGTGTTAACTTTTTATTTTCATTCTCAGAGCTGTATTTTTAATGTTGAAATTGCAGAATTACAAAATAGGGCTGTCCTACTTAAGAAAAGAAGAAAAGTAAGTTTTGTTTGTTACTTTCTTTAAAAAAGGAATTGTCTGAATATGGCTACTTTCATCATGAGTTCTGCAGCTGGTTTTGAATCTGATGTACAGTAGCAAACATTTTTCTTCATTACAAGGTGCTATTGTTCAGATAAGATTATTTTTTTTTCAATAGAAATTAGGACAGAAAAACTGATAGAGGTGGAATTATCACTTTGAACACGTATTTACGCCAAAAACAACAAGGATAGGCACATCCTTGGGAAAATAATGGTTTGTATAAATATCCTGTTCCTTCAAATGTGTCGTACTTATCAGAGGAGAACTTGCTAGATGATTGAGTAATCTTTTATGTATATTTACAATGGAGAAATATTTGTATTTATCTGTAACTACTCTCATATTATGGCACAACTCATCTATTGATGAGTGTACCTGAAATATTTCCCAGGATTCTGTCAAAATTCCTAGTACTCTGCACCCACTTATGGCTTCCATCTCTTCATCATTACCCTGAAACACAGTGGGACAGAGATTAGAACTTGCATCTCTTGGTCATCCTTACGAAGCATACCTCTGATGGCATTCCTTTATACTGTATGAATGGGGGATGGGAACCATTGATCTTTGCCAGCACTGAAACAGAAGCTAATGGTGGGGCTTCCTTTCTATTGTATCTTTGTTTTGGAATACTTGCTGTACGGAGCTACATTAATATGATGCTCTTTTTTTTCCAGCTCCCAGGTGGTTCTTTTTTAAAACCTATAGGATTAATATCAGTTTGACTGGATTGGAAAGTTCTGTTCTAAGTACATACTTTCAAATTGTTTAAATTGTTGGATATGATGTTAAAAGTTTTAAAATGTTCTGAACTGTTTTAAATTACTGTCTTGTGTTTACCCCGGCCTGAGACCTTTTGAGATACATATTTTAATAAAATTAATATTGCACTACATTCGTGGGTTTCTTTCCTATTTTCACAAAGCATGCAGTGTCATACCTACATGCTTCTCTGAAGGATTGATCCTTATGTAGCCAAAAGTGCAACACCTATCAACATAAATCTTGTGATCATCTCAAGGTTTGCAAAAGTATGAGGGAGAACCATCAGGAGAAAAGAAAATGATTTTGATAGAAGGGGATATTCAGAGCCGTCCTGTGAGAACTGAACACACTTGGTAGCCTTGAGGGCTAGCTTAAATTGCCAGAGATCAATTCAGTTTTCCCAGGCAGTGATGTAATGGTAAGTTTTGAATTTCAGGCACTCAACAGAACACTTCCTATAGCAACCCAGAGTTGGGGTGTGTTTGTGTACATACACACACACACACACACAGCTGTTCCTGGCGGAGATAAACCATGCATTTACGTGTGCACATAGCACCATACATTCCTTATCTCCACCAGGACCAGTACTACTTTTTGAAAGCTAATTATTATTAGGTTCTTGTAGGTTTTTTCGGGCTATAGGGCCATGTTCTAAAGGCATTTCTCCTGATGTTTCGCCTGCATCTATGGCAAGCATCCTCAGAGGTACCACTACCTCCGAGGATGCTTGCCATAGATGCAAGTGAAACATCAGGAGAAATGCCTTTAGAACATGGCCCTATAGCCCGAAAAAACCCACAAGAACCTAGTGATTCCAGCCATGAAAGCCTTCGACTAATTATTATTGCCCATTCTAGACAAAGGAACTCCAAAATTGCTTGAAAGTACAACAGTGACCACTCATAATAATACATTTATTTATGTGAGAATTTACTTCCTCTTCTGCAACAGTAGAGAATTGCAGATAAAATTAGGAGGAAACAAAAATCCAGAGCAGATGAGCGCACAATGGGTTGCTAAGTTTTTTGAATTGTATGGCCATGTTCCAACAGCATTCTTTCCTGCATCTGTGGCTGAAGGTTCTGTTGACTGAAGCAAGTGGTGTGTGTATGTATGTATAAATATCTGGATTATCTAGGGATATACTGCTAAAGTGTAGGGACTTTAACACTGAACTATTACTTTCAGAGACAAAATACGTTGATTGCACCGTGACTTGTAAGGCAAAATTTTATTAAAATATGGAACAGACTATTTGAAAGACTGCATCTCCTTATACGAGCCAACAAGAATGCTCCAGTCAGTGGAGGAGGCCCTCCTTTCTGTCCCACTCCTGTCTCAAGTGCAGCTGGTGGGAATCATAGAATCAAAGAGTTGGAAGAGACCTCATGGGCCATCCAGTCCAACCCCCTGCCAAGAAGCAGGAATATTGCATTCAAATCACCCCTGTCAGATGGCCATCCAGCCCCTGTTTAAAAGCTTCCAAAGAAGGAGACTCCACCACACTCCGGGGCAGAGAGTTCCACTGCTGACCGGCTCTCACAGTCAGGAAGTTCTTCCTCATGTTCATATGGAATCTCCTCTCTTGTAGTTTGAAGCCATTGAATGAGAGAGAGGGCATTCTCTTTGATCATTCCCCACCTCTGGAACTCCCTCCCTAAAGAGTTAGGAATGGCCTCCTCTCCTTCAAAAAGCTATTAAAAACAAATCTATGCAATGTAGCTTACAGAGAGGAGGAGGACTAAGTACATCTATTTGCACCTTACCTAGCTGGGTTAAATCCTTGTGCCAGCAGGACTAAAGATCAACAGGTTGCAGGTTCGAATTTGGGGAGAGTGTGGGTGAGCTCCCTCTGTCAGCTCCAGCTCCCCATGCGGGGACATGAGAGAAGCCTCCCACTAGGACGGTAAAACATCAAAC